AAGATGCTTTAAAAAACATTGAAGACGTTGTAAACGAACTTCGGGAGGAGGGCGAAGTCATACTGTGTGGGGACTTTAACTCTCGTATAGGACAAAAAACGGGTATGATAAGAGAAGACTCAACCAACGTTGTTCCCTTACCAGACGATTATGAGCCTGACAACTTTCTCCCCCGAAACTCACTAGACTCTATCACAAATACTTATGGTACACACTTTCTTAACCTAGTCAAACATAACCAACTCACTATTCTGAATGGCCGTACCCTAGGAGATCTTGTAGGAAACTTCACAAGTATCCAAAAAAATGGGTGCAGCGTTATTGATTACATTGCAGTGACCAACTCCACAAAGATCAGAATCAACTACTTCAAAATCTTGACATTCACCGAACATTCTGATCATAGGCCCCTCAGTACTGAATTAAAATGCAATAGATTCGCGATCAGCCAATGTGCCCCATTACAGGACACATATAAGACAGCGCCAACCAGATTCATTATCAACGAAGAGAACAAAGACGACTTTTTCGAAGCTCAGTCAGAAAATCTATCATTGACCTTAATCCAAGAACTCCAATCGAACATCGACTTACTCACCAATCAAAATAATTTAGCTGACAATGTCCGTAATTATGAAACTGAACTTAAAGACATTAACAAACGACTTTCAGAACATCTTCGCGACATGGCCTCGAAGTGTTTCAAACAAACCAAACCACCCAAAAAATCTCACACCTCAAACAAACCTTGGTTTAACTGGAAAACGAGATTAGGTAAAAGAGAATTTCGTAAAGCTACAGATGCAACCTCAAAATTCCCGTCAAACAACCTTATACGTGAAAACTATTATCTTGTCAAGGGTAGCTATAAGCGTTTGAAGAACTCTGCCAAAAACGAATTCTTCGCACGTATGAATGAGGACATAGAGGGGGGGAAAATTCTCAACTGGCAATCTTTCAAAAAACTAAAAAATCAGAAAAAGGAAACTTTAAATTTTGACAGTCATGATATGAATAGATTCGAGTCTTTTTTTGGTAACCTATATTCTGATAACCACAAAACAATAAATGAAAATAAAAAAGTTTCTATGATTGATCAAGCTGACTTGATAAATCAAGGTGCAACTCATCCTGAGTCACTCAACAGCTTAATCACAACAACAGAACTTGACTCTAGTATAAAATCCCTCAAAAATGGTAAAGCTTCCTCGCTCGACATGATTAATAATGAAATTATAAAATCTCTGGATACCAATCATAAATTAATTATGTTGAACCTCTTTAACGCCTGCTTCTCACAAGGAATTTATCCCTGGAACGTCAGCATCATATCTCCACTTCATAAAAAGGGAAATAAATCGGATCCTGACAACTACCGTGCAGTTGCTGTCAGCAGTGTCATAGGAAAACTCTTCTCAACTATTCTCTTAGAACGACTCATTCACTTCCGCTCTGAAAACTGCCCTGATCCACCTAACCAATTAGGCTTCACAAAGAAAGCTCAAACATACGATCACATACTAACCATGAAAACTATAGCATCAAAATATAAACTTTTGGGGAAACCTGTATATGCAGTATTTGTTGATTTTAAAAAAGCATTCGACTCAGTCTGCCGTCAAGCCCTTTTCCTCAAACTCGCAAAAAATGGCATAACTGGAAACTTTTACAATGTCCTCAAAAATATGTACTCAAACTCGTACGCTTACATAAAATTATCTGGTCATCTCAGTAAACGCTTTCAGATACGTAAAGGTACAGAACAAGGACACCCACTCTCACCTGACCTTTTTAAAGTTTTTCTCAGTGATATGTCCTGCCTCCTAGACTTTCCAAATTGCCCCGTACTTTCAAATATTACTGTTAGCCACCTGCTGTGGGCGGATGACCTTATACTCCTTTCACTCGACCAGGAAACCACTCAAATGCAACTTAATATTCTCGGTAATTTTTGTAAGGAGTGGGGCATTGAAATCAATGAACTCAAAACTCAAGCAGTCATCTTTGGTAAGAAAGCGTTAAAACAGGACGTACAAAACATCAAATTTACACTCAACGGATCTAATCTTGAAATTGTCGACAGTTATTGTTACCTTGGATTTGAACTTCATCAATCGGGTCAAGTGCAGATCGCTCAACAAAACCTTAAAACCAAAGCAATGCGTGCATTTTTTGGCCTGAAAAGGGTTGTCATGCGATCAAAGTTATCTTTTAAAGCACTCCTTACACTGTTCGACTCTCTCATCAAGCCCATTTTATTATATGGTGCTCCAATATGGACACCCACTAGTACGATCAACAAATCTCTTTGCAAAACGATTAACTCGACAGAAGCAACCGCTACTAACTTACTTAAAAAAATCAGCGCCTCTCTGCAAGAAAGAGTGCATATTTCATTCCTAAAATGGGCATTGGGAGTCCATCGTAAAGCATCAAATGTAGGTGTATGGGGAGAGACAGGGAGAATTCCTCTGATTTATCAATCAATTCGCTTAACATTAAATTACTTCAAAAGGCTAAATACAAAATCAAAGTCGAATTCGTTTGTAACTGCAGCCGTAAAAGAACAAAAATCACTAAACTTACCTTGGTATCGATACATAAAACCCCTCCTTGAACTAGATGAAATTTACAAACTAGATCACGTAACCGCGCACCGAATTCTCAATACAAATGCAGCCAACAAAGCCGAGCCCAACCCTGTAAGTGATCACAAATTATTAAAAGACTCCCTCAAAAATCAGTCAAATTTTAGTCAATGTATCAAACCACTATGCAGCAAAAAGTATAGAATTCCTAACATCATCGAAGCTCTAACCAATCAATTCAAAAAATGTTGGGAATATCAGAAATCTACTTCTTCTAAACTCTCATTCTATCACTCAATCAAACACACCTTTAAACGAGAGCCCTACTTACACTTATGCAAAGGCTTCTCTCGTCGTTATAGCACCACAAAACTTAGAATCAGCGCCCATGATCTCCATATTGAAAAAGGCAGATACTCCAACACACCCCGTGAGCAAAGACTATGTGCCTGGTGTCAATCAAGTATGGGTGTCGAGACCATCGAAGACGAGTCACATGTTCTCTACATATGTGACTTGTATTCAAAACAGAGGTCGAAATTAGTCAAAAATCTTTCTCAAATGCCACTCATTGAAATAAGCACTGATATCACCGACCCAAGCAATATCAATGAAACAAATCTCAAAGTCCATCTTATGGAAATTTTGTCTCCTAACTCAACTGTAATTCCTCAAAATCACCAGAGCCTCCATATTCACTGCCACCGTTCACTTAATATTCAACCAAACACCCCACAGTATATTCAATTTCAAGAAAGGCGCTCCTATGCTGTCAATTGTGTGTGCACTTATTTCCTTCGCTGCTCCGAAGAGCGAAATAGCTTCACCGAAGATATGCGTCAACGTAATTCAAATGCACGAAACTTAAACAATTTTACTATCAACTTGGTGAGAACCTCGCGAATTAGTCATTATTAAGATTTAAGGATAACCCTGGCCCTGACTTCAAGGAAAGATGAATGTTTTCATTAATCTCTGTACAATTATGACGGTCCATGATAATGGATCTATAATTTAATTTTAATCCTGTGTAATCCTGTGTAATCCTGTGTAATCCCCTGAATCCAGCAGGGTTCACATCATCGCACGCGAATTCCAATCAGCGGTGGTGTCAAGGAATAGGAAGTCTCGAGCATTCTCTAGGGAGGCGGTGGGTCCATTGATTTCGTCCATTAGACAGAAGAGTACCATGTCAGGAATTGGAATAGTTGTTGTTGTTGATGATGGCAACTGATAATACTTCACCAAAAACGAACGACTTATATACCACATTTTAATCGTAATCATTTATTTCATTGAGCAATCAATATTATTCGTAACTAATTATATCCGAGAGACCACATTTGAATCGTAATCAATAGTTTGATCCAGTAATTTACTACGCTACAATTAATTATGCTAGTCGTAACTAATTGCATCCAAGATACCATACATACCATTCATATGATCTGGTAACCAATCAACTATTCACAAACACCTGTTGCTTGATTCAGGGGATACTGTTATTATACAGTAATATGATCTGGTAGACAGGTGTCCGCGGACAGTGGTCCGCAGACAGTGGTCCGCGGACAGTGGTCCGCGGACCAGTGGTCGGGCTATCTCGATACTGCCACACATTGTAATGACGTAAGGTAGATCCACATATCTTTATAGCTATTTGACACTGGGATTCGAACCCTTGACCTTCTATTCAAATGCAGGTGGCAGTTTACCTTATAACTGCAATACTGCAATCAATTGTATTGATCTGAAAGTTTTTGTATTGTGCGTGTTGCTGGGTTGATTATCTTCATGTTTATAAAGAAGTTTAACAATAAGGCAAAATGTCTTATTGAATACAAGAAAGATATTTCCGGGACCTTGAAAGAAATGTGGAGATCATCCCTTCGGTCTCCCATCTACCATGTTAAGGTGATTTGGCAAAATTAAGCTAAAAATTGAGCAAATATGGGCGTGGTTGTCCCGCGGGCACCGGTGGGGACCATGAGTATGGAACCCACTCAAAAGTTCGGTCACGGGCCCTATAGTTTGTTGGTCAACAAACAGCTGTCTTGAAATCAAGTTTCACAAAAAGTCATTGAGAAACGTTATTGGTTCGGTATTTAAATGGTTAAAACCTTAATGGCCGGAGTAAGTCGGTCTGCAGGCGACTGTTTTTATTTTAGATGTCAGTATTGGAGCGGGTTAATTTGTTTGTTACTAGACTTATTTATTTCCTAGAAAACTATGACAGGTGACAGATCACACCATCTAATTATTGAGTTAAGTACCTAACTAACGAAAAAAACATTGGAAATTCGCAGATCTGAGATCTGTATAAAGCAAAATATTAAACTTGAGTGAAATATACGATTATAAAAGTTAAAATCAACATTGCATTGAACATGCATTATTCGGTCATTTTCCTACCTGTTCCAAGAACTGCACTGACTGCTAAAAGCATCAAAGCAGTGACCACAATGATTTTGAGAGACATGTTCATTCTGTATGCTGCTATTCTGGAAAGTAGAATATTGTAAAAAGGGTAAAAAACGAATTTCCTAGTGGAAACTGACCTTCGTGCCACAATAAAAATTGAATGAATTATAATAACAAACCACTATACTAGCCCGTAGTACCTATATAGTAGTACCAGCCAATGTATACTAAAAATATATACAAACAAAAACTTGTTAAGATAGTAACCAAGTTTTTGTAATTGTAAGCGATCAGTAGCCTCTGGTTATAGTAGTACTGTGTGAAATTCACGACAAAAATGAGTTACTGAATTATCGTCCACGAGGCTCAAAGTCCCTGGAGCAGAACTGAATGTTACTGAACTGCATAGAGCAGCTCTTTTAAAAGGGATAGCTGAACTCATCATGTCTCAACAATCGAACTCTACACTGCTTTATTTTGTTCCAAAAATATCGTATTGTTTAATCTAAAGGTGCTGTTTAATCTTAAAATGCCCGAGACAGATTTGTGAGGTTTTTAGAACAAATATGACCGGAGCAGTGCAGCTGACGAGAGACCGACTATAAAGGGGGACCCCAATAATTACTAATTAGGGGTCAGATCATATCACCAAATAGTGACATATTTATTATTTAGTGGTGTGATCCACCAGTAGATGTAACTGTACATTAAGAAGTTAAAATGATATTTAAGATTTGTCTGCTCGACTCGTAGATCACACAAGATACGGGAGTTCTTGCTAATGGGGGTGGTTCTAGTATTAAGGGACGCGAGACTTTCGTGTCGTAAGCTTGCAAGGGTAGTATATATACTGGTAGATGAAAGATAAATTATGAACCAATCTATGGCAGTATGACTTATGAAGTATCGCATCTACAACTTGAAGATGCAACTTGTAGTACAAGTACAAGTTAGCTAAGTGTAAAGGCAAAGTGCTGTTCGCTGGTGCAGTCCTCTTGTGCTTAGGACTGGGTATATACAGGGTGGCCCAAAAGTGACTACCCACACGCAACCTCTTAATAACTCACGTAATTTGTCTCCAAATTGCACCAAAATTTCAGAGATTATAGATATGGTCAAACTTAGATGTCCTGAAAGTTTCGTAAGCTACGCCCAATTACAGTGGGCGTGGCGTGACACTCCCTCTTTTTCACTATTGTCTTCATAAAATGAGAACGCTTTAAGCTAAGAACTCCACATTTTTTGCACACATTTGGCTTGATAATTTAAAACCTTTCCCAAAGTTTCAAGTTCATTGTTCAAAATTTGGCTGAGTTATGACCATTTCAAAATTCATCGGATACGTGATCCGAGGCAATCACTCAGTCAGTGATCTCTGCACTCAATCAGTGATCTCGTCACTCTGATCAAGAGTAAGGTGTTAGCGTGTATTAATGAGGTTCATTAGGCTTTACCAAACATACTGAGGAGATGACGACCTGATCATGATTGATTGGATACCGATGGCGATAATGACTTTGCTAGACAGGAAAACACCAAATTCTTCGTAAAAGTAAGGTCCTAGGATTCCACGAGAACTAATGGCGCACCAGATCGTGACTTTTTTAGGAAAGTCAGGAATCACGGTATAAAAGTTGGTGTTTCTTTGTGATCCGATAGGCCCGGTTAGAAAGATCTCGCTTTAGGATTCGTTGAAGGGATGTTCTGCTGAGGTCTAAGGCAGGAGCTCGTTTTCGGGTGCCAATTTTAGGTGTATCCATCACGTCACAAACAACCATGGTGATGTTTTCTTCGGTCCTCGCAGTCGTCTTCTGCCGACTCTTCGCCGATCGTTTGCAGAAAAAGTGAACTTGATCTTGTGATGCATATCAAAGCAGCTTTTCCGGCAAAGAGATGGTCGGTTGAATTTCATTTGAAATTGTCGTTTAAGCTGAGGGCAGAACTCCCCATTCTCTTTCTTCAGGTAGACAAACCATCGTTGTTCCGCAGTATAGGGAGGATAGTGAACCATTTTCGATGATTCAATGGATAGTTCGTTCCTTTTTATCGATTGTAAGGAACAAACCTGTGACTAGCAGGGCTAACAAGCCCTGCAACCAATCAAGCTGTGCATGTGAGCCAAACAGGCCATTAACCAAGTGCAGAGATCACTACGACTACCGGACAACTGAACCCAACTTGGACTTTTTCTAGACAGGGTAGCTTGGGAAAATAATCTTAAACCCAATCAGTCTACCTAATTAACTTTGAAACGACAACTGAACCCAATCGTCAGTTAGAAATAACTAACAGATAAACAGGTTTCCAAATACCGTTTAGCTGCTGCCTGGTTTCTATTTATAATATTCAACAAAAATTTATTGGCTAGTGCCCGAAGTGGTCTTACCAACGAGGAGGATACTTTGACTTCTTCTACCTAAGGGGTCGTTCACATATTGTTACGTAATATGTGTACGACCCCTTAGTGTGACAGACATAGTAGATAAGTTCTCACTACCAAGGATCGCCTTCATACAAGCAACAAAACGATTCACCAAATGCGGAGAAAACGAAGTTTAACGTTTTTCTCCACTTATTAATATTTTACCGGGGTAAGCACAGGGCTCCAATGCTCTAAATTACAGTGGTCATGATCTATCCTATAGTGATAATGACCACAGTCCCCTGCGAAGAAGGAGAACCTGAAAATCTGATCGTTGGGTTCAGTTGTCGTATTTCTGATTTCAGTGCAGTTGTGATATGACCTGGGTTCAGTTGTCGTTTTGGGATTTAAGCTGATTGGTCACCCAATTAAGCTGATTGGGTACCTGTTAACTGCGTGGGAACTAGGTTCAATTGGGTTCAGTTGTCGGTCACCCATCACTGACTGAGTGCTCGGATCACGTATCCGATGAATTTTGAAATGGTCATAACTCAGCCAAATTTTGAACAATAAACTTGAAACTTTGGGAAAGGTTTTAAATTATCAAGCCAAATGTGTGCAAAAAATTTGGAGTTCTTAGCTTAAAGCGTTCTCATTTTATGAAGACAATAGTGAAAAAGAGGGAGTGTCACGCCACGCCCACTGTAATTGGGCGCGGCTTACGAAACTTTCAGGAAATCTAAGTTTGACCATATCTATAATCTCTGAAATTTTGGAGCAATTTGAAGACGAATTACGTGAGTTATTAAAAGGTTGCGTGTGGGTAGTCACTTTTGGGCCACCCTGTATTTATTTTGTACACTCAACAACTGCGTAGAGTTCGAGGAGGTAGGGGCTACTAGAATCAAGTACGTTCGAGGAGGTAGGAGCTAGAATCAAGTACGTCCGAGGAGGTAGGGACTAAGGTGGTGTAAGCTAATGATCTTAGAATTGAGTAAAATAACAATAAGAACATGCTACTCATATGGTAACTAGAAAATAAGTCTGCTCAGTTCTTGAGGGGTTAAGTTTGGGATTAGGGTTCGTTCACATATAACGTAATCAACCGAGGGGGGAGGGGGTTCCCAAATCATTACGGTTGATTAAAAATTGCTAAAATATTGATTATATAATATGTGAACGACCCATTGTATTGTAATAATCAAAGAGACTTATAGCTTCCATAGAACAAATAACAATAACACAGTACATTCAACAACTGCGTAGAGTTCGAGGAGGTAGGGGCTACTAGAATCAAGTACGTTTGCTTTAATCATGAAGGACAATTTGCGAGTAAAACTTTAAGACAAGACAGTGTTAGTATAACTTCTTGTTTCTATAGGGTGGTATAAGTTAATGATCTTAGCTTCATGGAGGGGGATTTGTTTCAAAACGTATAAGAGATACGAAAAGTTTTTTTTCGCAGGAGCTTTCAAAATAAATGTGTTAATCGTCTTCAGCTAGTGATGATGTTGTGAAGGGATGATTATATATGATGGAGTGGTGTCAATGAAGTTCTTAGTTCTTAAACATGTGTCGATTTACATGAAATGTAATCTACTCCATATCAATATGACTAAATGTTGCTACATGATCCATTTTAAATCTGCCTCTGAATATGATGAGACCTGTGCTAGGACCAGACCATTTGCTAAAGTGCTAACCTGCTAGATGAGTCTAGGTCAATATTCATCGATGGTAAGGTTATTACTAAAGTCAAGGATACCAAATTCCTAGGTATTGTAATAGATAGTAAGTTAAACTGGGCTGCCCATATGTACTACATTCGTAAAAAACTTCGGTCCATGACTGGTGCAATCTGTAGAATTCGACACTCGATTCTGGTGAACTATATTTGAAAATATATAATGCTCTCTTTGAATCACATCTCAGTTATGGTATAAGTGTTTGGGGCGTTGTCCTTAAATTAAATTATATTGCTCATACATATAGTTTAATACTGTCACCAATATAAGTAATATAAATAATGATATCTATCATCATATAGTAGTATAGTTTTGCCCGAGATGTGCCCGAGATGTGCCCCAGGTGTGCCCCAGGTGGTTCTGCCCGAGGTGTGCCCGATGTGTGATTTCTGCCCGAGATGTGCCCGGGATGTGCCCCAGGTGTGCCCCAGGTGTGCCCGAGTTTGTGCCCGAGGTGTGCCCCAGGTGTTCCCCAGATGTGCATCGGCAGATAACCGAGTTGCCGAGTATATATATACTGGAAGATGAAAGATAAATTATGAACCAATCTATGACAGTATGACTTATTAAAGAAAATCGCGATTATTTAGGTCAAAAATCGGGGCGCCGCGACAAGCCAAACTAGGCAAAATCGCGGCAAAAGATAATGTATTAATTGCTGAGCTAAGTTAGATGTCATATATTCGTTAAACTAGCCAGCATTAGTTTAGTTAGATTAGGGAGCGATAAGCAAAACAATAGTATACCTTATCGGACCTTATTTGGACGGACATTAATTGAACGCTGGAGGCCCTAGCGTTTATCTTAACTAGCAGGAACCCGTATAACCCTAAAATAGTGTCAAGACTCAGGAGACTAAATAATTATTACCAATTTAATTCGCGTTTTTGACACCACTTGGGGGTTCAAATTTTGGGCTCTAAAACTCCTATTCCTTGGCCAATTTTTTATTTTTTCATGCTGAT